GTTGAGCAAACGCGAGGTGTTACTATTCTTTGTTCACGATTAAGCTGACGTTTCGGCGGATTTCACCTTCCTCAGAGCCGCTTCCTATGAGGTTTCCATCAAGTATGTCACGTAGAGACCAACCGCACAGAAATCACGTGGAAGTATAATGTGCCCCACTCATCAGAATAGCAGTCTTATATACTGCCCTACATCACGCGTGATAATGAGGCATTCTTCCCTGCGGTTCATTTTCGGATTTCTGGAATTAATCCAGAGTGCCTCGAGAGTTTTTCGCGCCTGTGTTCTTGATTCGCGTGCGAGGATCGTGACACATACTTCGAAGTCGTCCCCGTTATGTCTCTGGGTCCTATGCGTCCCTAGCGGGGTATTTGGTCTATTTTTGCCGGCTAGGTGTTCTTTCATGCGGACACAGAGGGGTCTACCCGTTTCGCCAATGTATTCGTCACCACACGTCTTACAGGAGATCAGATAAACTATACCCGAGCTCATGCAATCACCGTCTCTACCACTGGGGCAAATTATGCAATTTTGAGTTGCACATAGACGGTCATATAGGCGGTTACGAACTAGCTGGCGCATAAGATTACTCGGTGGTATTTCAACTACGCTCACCGAATTCTCTAAGCCCGCCCTTCTTAAGCAGCATTTTATAGCTGTACTTATATCATTTGAGATGAAGGGTAGGATAAACGGGACCCTTCTATCGCTAGAGTTGTCGTTTGGAGGCCTACGATTTCCTCTACACCTATCCTGAGCTACAGTTTCGTAGCCATTAGAAACGGCTATTTGCCGTGCCAAGTTCCGGGACTCCTCTCTCTGCTCTCTTCCCGTGCACACGTTGGTTGCTGTTCGAAACATGTTTCTTATAAGCGCCCTTTTCGTGTGAGAGGGGTGAGAGGAGAGATATTTTTACTACTTGGCTTTCGGTACCACTTTGTAATGTAGCCATTTTCTGAAAGGTGAATTTGTACGTTCAAAAATGGAAGCCATTTTCCTTTCGGCTTTTCTCGGGTGAACTTGATATACTCTGACTGTGCGTTTAACAATTCGAAGCATTTGTCCATTTCCTCTTGCGTTGAGCAAAGGACAAAGCAGTCGTCTACATACCTACAGTAGAGTAGCGGCCCGAGATCAGTCACCGGTGCTTCCACCTTAGACATAAATGCAATGGCAAGGCTTGGAGCCAGTCGTTGTCCCATTGCCAACCCTCTTATTTGAGCGTAGTACTTTCCAGACCATCTGAAGATTGAGCAGCTCAAGCATTCCTTTAAGAGTGCCATCAGGTGCTCTATCCTGAAGCCATACATGTTTATTTCTCCTTCGTGTTGTGTAAGGAGTTCGAATATGGCTTGCATTGCGGAGTCATTCGACACGTTTGTATAAAGGGCGGTAACGTCGAAGGACTCCATCACTATTTCTTCTGTTTAGTGTGATGCAGCAAAGTTTCCTTTACAACTTTCTTGAGTTCATCAGTTTTTTAATCGGTTGTGACCTATTAGAAAAAAGTCACCATCATTCATGAAGCGCTTACAAAGTCTGGTTACAGTCTGGTTCTGGTTACAAAGTAATTTACGGCTTTTTCTTCGTTTACAACTTTTTGCGATGGGTTATGATTATCGCATAGAATAGTAGGTTATAAGAAGTACGGTAATATATTCATTTTAAGTGCCAAAATTCTTTCAAATTCTGACAGGTGTGTTTCGGTAGGGGAAGCATAGGAAAATACGGAGTATAGTAGCTACGTCGTACCTCCAGATGGATGGAGCAAACTCTCTTTGACAATAATGTAGCTTTCTCAACCCCATTAGGCTCCTAGCTGTGGAAAATTTATCGCGTGTTGTCAAGAAATAAACCAGCAGTTACCGTGTTTAAATCCCTGGCGAGTCCACAGCTTTCTACTCCTCTCTCTATACGGTATTCACGGCGACATCCAATTTTTCACCACGTAACGTTTGCATCGTATTGGATGCATAGTAATTAGAGTGCTCCTAAAGTAGAAAAATGAGCAGTTTTCTTATTAGCAATAGTCTATAAAGGAGCATTTAGCTGAGAATCTTAAATTCAAAAAACAATACAAAGACGGTGGCTAGGATTTTGCGGTAAAAGTCCGTGGTAAAATATCTCGTGAAGTGTCCAAAACATCAGCACGTAAAATTCCTAAAGTGTTTTTGGAAGAACTGCAAAAATCCAAAAATGAACTGCAAGTAGGAGTGCTCTTGGATCTTGGGTGACCCCGCGACATATCTCAAGCTGAATTTTTGACCTGAGCATAGTACATTTCTCGTCCCTCTAAGACTCTGTAAGGCTACTTCTCAACATGAACTGGAATACTTACAAGGAACAAAGCAACTAGTGTTGTAAAAGAGCTGTTTTTTTTATTGAGGTGAAATTTGCGTAATAAGTTTTATCTGCTGAGGTTATGAAAATGTTGGACTGTGTAGATTGCGAGTCAGTTTAATCTTTCCAGATTTAGAAAAAGGTGAGGCCACCGAGGCGTCAGCTGAAGAAACAGTGAATCATTGGTCATTGCTTAGGTTAATAAAAAGTCGGTCCTGGGATTTGATGTGCAAATATTTTAGCAACAGTAGTGATGGGATCCGCACAGTAGATGTGAAAGAAGCCTCGTATAAAAAAATTAAAAAGTGTATAGGTGATATATACATATAGTTGGCCATGTATTTGTATATATATTTTTTATTTTTTATTACAAAAAAGTTTATACATATGTATGTATGTATAAACTCACACCACAACCTGAAATTCTGAAGGAAGGATTGTTCCCTCACTATCACTATTCGACAAGATTTGAAGAATGCCATCGCTAAAACTCTGAGTAAACTGAGCTGAGTGCAAGTGCAGAAATGCTGGATGTTTGTCGATGATCCAGCAAATGTTCTTTTGTTCATGACCTCGTGACACTGTGTGTTTTTGTGCATCCCGAAAGGACAAGTGGCGTCTCAAAGTCTGCACACACATACGCGTTTAACTTTGAAGAGCAGACTGATTCTGTTCTAGCTGTCACTGATAACGATTTGTTTGCTTGTATTGATTGTAGAGAACTCTGTTGAAGCTCACTAACAATCCTTCGATAATTGTCTGTTAGATAGGACAAGCACGATTCTTTTTAATTGTGTAAGGAGCAGTTTTACCATATAAAGAAACGAGTTGTCTTTTTGTTAGGGTATTTGGTAAAGTCAGATTATTTAATTTTAAATCAATGAAGCGAGCAGAGTGGTTTGAGATGCTGCTAAATACATCACTCTCTCCCTGGTTCAACCCTTAAGCAAGTAACCTTTCCCACTTATCTTTACGAGCTTTGCAGAATGATACCAGACTTTTCTCGGAAAATCTCCCTTCAATCTATAAAGACCAGTGATTGCCTGTGCTGAAGACTCCTGGAAACGCTCAAGTAAAGTTTTGCCAGCATTTCAGGTAAAATCAACTGGACCAAATTTAACATTTCACATTCATTTGGAATAAAAAATTTTTAAATGGGAACCCAACTCACGCTCAGACTCAAAGCTCTTCGTACATGACGTTGTCGGGGAAATGGAACGAATGAAAGGATTCGTCTTAATATCGCTAATAATCGCATTATTCGAGTGGACGCTAACAAACTCAACATTTGTCCATGTCAAGCGTCCGAGCTACTAAGCTCACAACACCCGAAACTGGTTTTTCGGCAAGAGACAATGATTTTCCAACAGCTAGAGAATTTCAGGAACTAGCAGCTACATCAATTTATAAATGAGACTTGCTCCGCCGCGTTAATATATGAAAACTGTAAAATTTTCTTTGAATCTCTCAAATATTTAGAAACAAAAGTTCAAAAAACTGAAAACATATTGCTCATTTTTTATTTACTGCCTTTTACAAGTTTTCGCGGCAGAGTATTATTTGTGAAACAACCACAATGATGCTGAGATTTTTGCAAAGCTCCGGACCGCAACTAGATGAGAGACAGGAGAAGCGAAGGACCCGCATGGTGTGGTCGTGAATGCGTTAGCCCACGGAAAGGGTAATAGCGCGTTCGTTCCCCACCGCAGACACCTGCGGTAAGGGGTTTGCAAATATCTCAGCATCATTGTGGTTGAAACATATTTTAAGGCTGTTTTCAGTGTAACGGTGGCATTTGCAAACATAAAAGATGTAAAAGATGTATTGCGGAACACCGTAAGATTTCATTAAACGGAACCCCTCTTGTTCAACTGTTTTTTTTTTCGAAAGTTCAACAGTTTGAAGAAAAAATTAAAAGTGTACGACTACAAGGTTATTGAAATGTAAGCAAAACTAGGAATCTCATCTGGATTTCGAACCCGCGATTGCCCTTGTCGGGGCTCACATGAGATCCAACCGAGAGCGAAAGCATGAGTTCCTAAGTCCAAAAAGATTAGAATTTCACCTTGGTAGAATACGATGACTTGTAACATGCACAAAAAGATCATTAGACTCGAATCGTCTTCCCGCAACTAATAAAGTTTAGTACGAGCCAGATGTGTCGGCCCAATATTGAAAGCCGTCACGATCTTCACATCTCTTATATTGAATAGTGGACTTTATATGTTAATCATTCGAAAAAAGCGCTGAGCATCACATTCTAACATAAGTCCTTTTATCGTCACCACCTGTGGTGAAATGGAAGCTTCGGATAGCAGCCAGAGTTCTGCCTGCTACTTTCAGAAAGATTTTATAATAACTGGGCTTATGCCAAATAAGAAAAAACGCTAAATGTTTATTGTGATAACGATAGCATTATGTACATATAGGTATGGTACACTTTTACCATATTATTACTACAAGTTAATATTTTTTGACTCTGACTAGAGCAGTGACAGTAATGATCATAGGGACACCGGGTTCATCGTAGGTTGACGATGTTGGAAACATAACGAAAGAGAAAAATCAGAAAGTAATCGGTGGTTGCGAATAGAGCTCATAGGAATGACCTTTGAAAAGTAATTGTGTATGATTGCCAATGGCTGATCATGCATAGTCAATCAGGCAACGCCTGAAAGTGTTGTGCTGCCTGTGGATCGACGTCGCAAACGCATTAACGCTTGCATTTCTCGTTTGATGTCCAATGATCCCTCCAGATTTTCCTTCTCGTCGACGAGTTGCCAGCTGGCAGTTCTGAAAACGAGACCCAGTTTCTATATGTTTGCATGGTTTGCGAGTTCGTAAGTCATAAGCTGTAGGCAGAAATACTCCTTCGGCATCTTCTCTTCAAGTGATCAAAAAAAAGCTGTTAAGATTGCACAAAAAAGTCATGTAAAACAAACCGATACACTTTAGTGTGCACCAATGGTCCGACTTTTCCATAGTGAAAGGTGTCCTCGAATATCTGGCGATACCAGTACTCTTCAGGCGTTTCAGGTGTCCTGTCTGGAAAGCGATCCGCTCTTTCGGCGAACATCTGCTCCGAGATGAGAGTGCTGGCGTGACGATGAACAACGTCACCGAGGTCCGTTTTGCCTAAAGTACGTGATGAAAAGCTTACAACGAAATAAAAATCGTTCCGCATTTGCAAAAGAAAGGTTTCTTCCTGTTGACGTTAAATGGATAGCTTACACTTTTTTTGCTTCACCGGCTTCTTCATGAGGAAATGAGTCGTTCAAAATGTGATGATATTGTGCTGGATGTAAGTGTAAATTGCTGATTTAGTCTTATTTCGCTTGAGAACCATTCATTAAGAACCGGGTATAAATATACCGTTTGGTCTAGCCCTTGTCTCGGTTTTCGAAATACTCACAGAGAGCCACCGAAATGAGGAAATAATACATTTGAATGAAGAGAAAGATTAAAACTGCAAAAAGGTTTTCTGGTCCCCAGAATTTATCGCAGACCACCTTCTCTTTCAAGTAGACATTTTTACATCTCAATTTAACAAACACTTATTTTTGTATTTATGGGCGCGCGTGGCGCAGTGGTTGGAGGCGCCACTGCGACACGCACGCGGATCCTCGCCCTCATGATCGCCAGCCTCCCATCACTCCGGAGTCGACATCGGTTGGCCACCACGAATCATTGTAAAGGCCAGATATGCATTCAATCACCTCCAACGATATTTAATGAAATCGAACGCATGGCGCACCCACCCCTTAGGGATTGATGAATGAAAGAGCTTTATCCTTTTCATCCTTTTTATTTTTGTAGTTCGAACTTTCATATTGTTTTTTTTTTCTCGTCTTTTCATTATTTCATTGTCAGTAACAATGTTCTCACCGAGTGCCTCAGCGAAACCCTCTTTGCTTCTCCACAGCACCTCTTCCGGTAACCATCCTTCGAATGCGCTACGCAATAGGAATTTTTCGAGTTTCATCGGAATCAATTTGTAGTTAGGTGGAAGTCGAACAACCAGATCAATAAATCTGAAAACTATACACTTTATCAAACGTGAATTTTGAGCGAAAGAAGCGTGTATTGATCTTCTACGTTCGTTCTTCTCTATAATATTACCATTCTCACTTTCATCTACAGATGTGTTTTGAGTTTTTTCACACAGTTTTTGGAAAAAAGACAAAAAATTAGTGGGTGCAGTTGGTCACAGAGATTGATGTATCATTGAGAATATGCTCATTTGATAATGACGAAGACTCATCTCTCTCGGAGTTCTTCTTAGGTAGCTATACTTCACGTGTTTTAACTTAACGGTTAACCCGGTAGAGATTTCGGTAAATCTGCTTGCCATAAAGTAGAGAAAACATATTGACTAGGTCTCTGAAGCTTAATTGCACCGACTATTAAACTCTTCAACAATATCTGAACGAGGCCGAATTCTCTCCGGTCTCGGAAAAAACACAAGAAAGTAGTTTTATGAGGAGGACAAATGTCATCTAAGCTATAAAAAGCAGAGCAGGACAATCTGCTTTCAAGCGTTTTTGAGCTATGTCGAATTCTCATTTCTGATTAAAACAAGTGATAGGGTGATAGGACATGGTTCAAAACCTCTTGTCAAGGAACGGCACTCGGATCTCCAACCCATGGCACGACGTCGATCGATCACACCTGAGCACATCGTATTGATGGAGATGTGTAAGTCGACGAAGAATTTCTTTGTGCAGCTGAAAGGCATGAGGAGCACGTTGCATGTAGGCGTAGGACCCAAATAACTCGTCAGCACCTTCGCCTAAAACACAACTAGCAATTTTTTCTACCAATAACTTTCCATCATTTCATTTGATTCTTATTGTAACCTATAATTCTTCGAAGACAGTTCCACCACTTTTTCGTAGTGCACAGTGCAGCCCTCATCGTGGCAAAAGATTTCCTTTAATGTCGAGAAGTACTATTTTGCACCACCTGTGTTGCCGTTATTCCTTAAATATTCTGCTGGCACTTCACGTAGCAATTCCCACGACCGACTTTCTTTTAACCTCGGCATTGATTGATAATTCGATGTTTTTCTTCAATAAGCAGACACGAGGTTGTCATTATAGGATTCATTAGGATACAATAGCTGACGTTCCGGCGGTTTCGGCTTCTTCAAAGCCGTTTATTTGTTGTGAGCATTTAAGTTAGTTGATGGATAGCAGCCGCACAAAGTAATACATGGGCGATGATTGTCTGAAGGAGACTAAAGGCGAAACCGCCGAAACGTCAGCTATTGTATCCTAATAAATCCTATAATAACAACCTCGTTTCTGCTTACTGAAGAAAAACATCGAATCTTTAAATAATTTGAGCGAGCACCAGTAAACTTTATTGCATCGCACCCTTGTCCACCGAATCATCATAGGAACGATGATTAGCATCACACTTTCCTTAAGACAGCAGTTTTTTCCACCGTTTAGGCGAGAAAGTAACTACAGAGACCTCTAGTTGTTCCAGCTCTCCGAATGGAAGTGTCGAACTCTTCAGTTTCGGAGATCCTGGCTGATTTAAACTTCCAATGTGATATCCAAGAACACACTACGATCACGACCGACGATGCACGGCATCGTTAGGTGGATATGGAACAGTACAGTAGTGCAATTGTTTCAGCTCACTATCTCCCTGACTTATTGAAACGATCTAAGAAATGCTGAAAAATAGTTCGATATCCTCATTCAGATGTAGCATTCAGGAAGAAATCTACGTCGTTTGTCGTCACTGCTCTAGAAGAGACCCAGTCGAAAAAGGTAAAAAATCTCCTTTCGATCCGCAGAGACTGGTAACTGCAGGTGACGGCAGCTTCACAACAGGGGCAAAATGTTGATCAAAACGAGATCGCCCTAACATGTGTATTTCCCATGATGTTCGGCCAGTACAGCTGTTTACTCACCTTTCGGTCTTGAGATTTCGATATATTCAACTCATTACAAATGTATTTGAATCTCTTGCTTTAGTATTTTCCAGCTTTTTATTTTAAAAGAAACATCATTGATTGAATCAACAGCAGATTGGATACTTTCTTTCGTTCGTTTTTATTCCCACTGTTCACTATCGGAGCTGGCGAAACAAAACATTGACCTCAACCAGCAGCCAATCCGTCTATTGTTTGCAATTCTATTTTCGGAGTCATCGTGATGGAAAGAGTGGTCACTAGTGACAAATCCTAGCAAACAGTGACAAAGAAAAAGAGAAGAACTTAAACTGTAGAAGAGCACCCACCGAGACTACGTTGGAAATTCCTTTCTTTCCAATTTTTATGCACATCAATAAAATAAACATATCATACCAGGAGTGTGTATTAAGAAAAACCAGTTAAATTGCAAAAAAAGGCAACAATACACAGCATGATTATCAGTGCTGCTGTTATCCAGACTATCAAGATACCAATAAAGTGGGATTTTTGTGAAGACTTAATTGCACGATACTTGAACGGCCCGTCCTCACTAATTGTGCGGGCCCCAGCATAATCTCCATTTTTGCTAAGATTTGCTGGTTAAGCCGTTGTGGTTTCCCGGAATTCCTTGGTCACCTTGTCCAAAGTCCGCCCCAGGTCTTCACCGCCACAGGCAGTCCACCATGCGACTTTGGTATCAGGACGGTGGGTTGTGGATCATGGTATTGGTTTACTCTTAGCTAGGCTTCCTGATGGAAACGTCGGACTCTTTCTTTCTCAGCTTGAGAGACTCTGCCAAGGAATGAATCCTCCGCTGGACATCGCTGTCCGATACCCAGGAACACCTCCCAGCTACGATGAGGCGGTAAACCGTCAGGAGGTTTGTGAAGACGCTTGCTGTTATTCATGAATATGGATATAGGCGCCATACAATACATTAAGGAATGATTTCACGCCCTTGGCTCATTAAGCGCCTGGTGGTCCTCTTTGAAACCTTGTAGTAAGTCAAGTTACGACTTTCTAAATCGAAGTGAGTATCAATAGGGCACAAAACGTATCCTGTATCTGCATGCTCTGCAAAACATTATGGAGTCTAAACGACCGACAAAAGGCACACCTCAAATGCCGTCGTGTCTACGACTCTGTTTGATAAGCTGACGTCAGCAATTTGGAACTTGAACTACGGTAAGCGAAAAAAATGAAAGAAAAGCAGAGTACGACATGATCGTGACGCTAACGATGCAAGACTATTGACATCTCTTGCTTCCAGCCTATTGACTTACGTGCACTGTTTTATGCACAGACGAAACTGGACAAGTGAGTGCAGATTACTTAGTGATATGAGCTAGTGTAAGTTCGTCGTCGCTTTTGAGAGAAAGAAACTGTATTGCAAATTTCCGGCGATTAAAAGAAACAGCAAAAAATCTCACCAGAAAGTAAAACTTTCACATTCGATGTCTTTGCAATGTGCTTGCAGAGCAGATAATGGGCGATACCACAGCGTACGATTAGTGGGTCGAAGGTTTCCAAGGCATAAATCACTTCTAAAAACGCTACAACACTTTGATAAAAACAAAAACATAAGCAAAAAATGTAACTTGGAGTTGACAGCATCTGGTAGTAAAGAGAATTTATGAGAAAGCTTAGGAAAGCCCAAAAATAGGGAATAATAGGAATAATAACTATAATTGCGGAAAACTAGGGATGAATTACTGACAGAGTTCCTGGCTTTGAGCAAGTACGAGGTAACCTACTTACTTGATACTTGAACGGCACGTCGTCACTAGTTGTGCGGACCCCAGCATAATCACCATTTTTCGGAGATTTGCTGGTTAAGCCATTGTGGTTTCATGGAATCCCGAAGACAGCCTGGCCTAAGGCTGCCCCAGGTCGTCACCACGAGAGGCAGTCGCAGCACTTGTGGATAAGAGGGAGATTTGCCATTCGACACCATTCGACTAGTTTGATAACTGGACGGTGGTGGTTTCTGATATTGGTTCACTCTTAGCTAGGCTTTCTGAACACTGGATTCTTTCTTTCTCAGCTTGGGAGACCCTGCCGGGGGAACGAAACCCCCCATTGTGCAACGCGGTCCGACATCTGGTCAAACACCTGCCAGCCATGACGAGGCGGTAAACCGTTTGGAGAGTACTAGGTAAGGGAAGCAGTAAAGTAATACTGGCTTAAAGCCTCGAAAATTAAGATATTTACCAAGTTGTTCGAACAGTTATTCTTTTCAGTGATGAGAACTCATATCAGATTTTTTAGGACAAAAAAATGCGAAGTTCTTTTGTAATTTGTACGACCACTTTTTCACATCTACTGTGCGGATCCCATTTTCACATTCGTTTCTCTTCCTCGAACCCATCGTCCACGATAGTTTTCCAACTTTTAAGTGTGGCTTTGCCTGCTGCTTGAGGATTTCCATTTCATCTAGAATGCCGTGGAATGCTGGTCAAGTCGATTCTCCCTAGATTCGCGCGAGAGCTTGCCAAGAAGTTTCCTGCAGACAGTGGTTTTTCCAGACAATTCCTGCACCAATTTCCCGACCCCTGAGGAATGAAGGGCTTGGTGGGCTCGTGATGACTGGCATCACTACCACTGTGATATCGACCTCAATTTATCAGGTTAGCTATTCTACTACTTTTCACACACAAAACAGGGAAGATTTTCACAGAACTAACTGTGAATGGTGACGAATGAGCACTTCGATTGAAGCATTTTGGCGAATATTCGATCCGAATTTAACCATTTTGTAAAAGCATTAGCAATTAGTAGTAAAAAATAAAAATAAGAACTGACTAACCAGGAATAATATCAATGCATTCCTTCGGAGTAATAACTAGGACATCGTGAGGAATGTTGAGGTACTTAGCAACTCGCCTAGCGTTCTCCAAATCCGGTGAATCCTCAAAGCCAACTGAGAATGCAATCGGCTTCTGCAAAAGTCAATAATTCGGGTATTTCAATCTATTAGAAGTCAAAGAACGTGTAACCATCAAAGAATTCGAGAGATTCATAATTAATTGTTATAAATTCGTTTACGTTCACTGTTGCTACTGTAACGGCAGTGATTGTTTGCTCACAGAAAAAAGAATTTCAAGATTTTGAACTCTTTTCGGATTCTTTTTGAACTGGCTAAATCTTCCCAACTAATCTGACTCCAAGGGCGCATGTGGCGCAATAGTCGGAGGGTCTGTGCAACATACACGTGGGATCGATTCCCGCACCCAGGTTCACCAAGCCTTCCATTCCTCCGGAGTCGGCAAATTGGTGCTAGGCTTGTCTGAGAGGGTAACAGCACTGGCTCGATACATCGGTTCGCCATTGCGAGTCATTGTAAAGGCCAGATACGTATCCATTCACCTCAAAACGATGCTCAATGAAGTCGAATGCATAGGGTACCCTTCGGGGATTGATCAACGCCGAGAGCATTATCCTTTATCCTTTAATCTAACATCATTTATCGAACACTGCTATCCTGTACAACTTCATTTTTTTCAGTCACTTCTTAAAAATATGTTTACCCTTCTTCTCTGTAAATACCTAGCCTGAGCACACTTCAAGAATTCCATTCTGGATTGTTTAATTTTTACACTTTTCTATTTTACTTTCTTACAAAAATCTTCTTGTTAGTTAGTGATACTCTTTTACATAAAACAAGACGGTCACTTAGTTTTTTATTCTGAACTCTTGGAAACCATTGCCTGTAGATGAGCTGTTCAGCAACTGTTTCTAGGCATGAAGATCAACTCACTTTCGTTAATAATCTAAGATGAGGTTGGTTAGTAACTTTAATCCGGTAACGTTCCGACGTCGAATGTTATTTATCAACATCGTGCTTGCTTATCAATGAGAGGATGCATGTTGACTAGTTACAACGAGATTGAAGGAAAGCCGATTTTTAAAATATTCAACTCAATTTTAACTTCTTGGCAAAAGATCGATAGAACTAGCTGATAGGCGAAACGAAGGACTCGAATGGAGTGGTGGTGAACGCGTTACTCCCCGGGAAGGACAATGGCGCGTTCGTTTCCCACCGCAGACCCCGGCAGTCCGGAGTTTTGCAAATAACTCAGCATTGTAGTAGTTATATTCAACTCACTTTTTTGAGAAACTTCGTCGCAATGGAAGCAATCAACGACGAATCCAAGCCGCCGGACAGCAGGAAACCAAACTGACGATTGCCCATCAGACGTTTCTCGACGGATTTCACAAGAATTTCACGAATTAGCGTCTGAATTATTAACAGTTTGATTCCACATAAGAAAACGGCAATGCTTCGCGATGGACGTATGACTCTTTCGAGAAATTTCTGTTGCTTTGCTTCCTTTACCGTACCGATTTTCTAAACGTTTGTTGAAATTCACATTTTGAAAGTTTCTTAAAACTCGTGCTTTTTTCTGAGCTCACAGCTGTTTTTTTCTTTGCAAGTAGTACATAAAATACTTCTGTCTTACCTTTGCGTTAGGGATGCTGATGAGAAGATCAGCGATGCATGGAATTAAGTAGTAGTGTTGAACGGAAACTGATCTTAACAGACGTTATCTTTGGAAAAAGGCTTCGAATTAAAGACACTGAAGAAAAAGACTTTTTAGTCCAATTACGACAATTTCTATGAAACATAACGCCTTTGGATTAGTCCTGTTATATTATCAAAAATTCACCATCAGTTTTCTCTTTGGAAAAAAACTTATTGGAAGTGTCCTTGCAAGCTCGTGTCAGTTTTGTTGATTTTCGATATCTTTTTTGCGCTAGCATCGCATTAATGATTGTTGCACAGTGGTTTGGGACGAACTGCAATACACACGTGGTCATTAGTAGTTACAATGGCCCGTGCCAACTAGGCCCAACATTGCTTTTGGCTAGAAATATTGGTTCAGACTTGGAGGAGGGTATAGGCCTTGGCTTGATGCATCAGCAGACCGTCGAAAAGAGTTGTGTAGGCCAGATATACATTTAGTTAGTTTCTCCACAATGCTACGAATGGACCAGCGACGAATAGATATAGCTTAATCGAATCCAGTTATATTGAAAACGTCTGGAAGCCTGATGGAAGAAGAAAAACGAACAAACTTTTTTCCAGGTAATCGTCCCATCTGTGGTGACGGAGCACTACACAGTGGCGCGGGTACCACAGTGGTAGTAATGTCAATAGTCACGAACACAATGCTGGTTTTCCGCTCCGGACTCATCAACCTTTTCAGCTCCTGAGGTCGAGAAATTCGTAGTGAACATTTCCGAGAAAAAAATCATTCTCTACAGTCCGAGTGGGAACGCTAAAGGTCAGGTATCTCTGGACTCCAAGAAGAATCGATACGACCAGCATTCACGACATTCAAGATGGAATGAAAATCCTCAAACAACAGCCGAAGCCACACGTAAAAACTTGGGAGACTTTCGTGGACAATGGATGCGAGGAAACGAATTGAATGTGAGAAGCGCTGGGATCCACAAAGTAGATGTAGGAGAGGAGTCGTGTGAAAAAACCTCGTCTCAATCAGTGTAAAGCAATATTCTTTCGATCCAAAGAACAAAATAACATTTCTCCATGTTAAAGTGTATAAAACTTTTCAAAAAAAAAGAAGTCGACAGTTGATCACTGATTTATCTTTTGAAACCGTGCTAAACATATAAGAATTCGAAAATGTACTAAAGTATGTGTAAATGGGAATCACCTAGTTCTGCCGTGTATCGGTACCACAGCACAGCAACCAGGTGGGAAGTAGTCGAGTCGATCACATAGATGTTCCATGCACTTAACTTCGGAGCCGAATACCAAGCCTCCTGAACGCTTTTCAGTACTTGACACTGGGAAGAAAATTGTCTCGGTGCTTTCGAATCTCGTCTAAGTTATTAGTAAGTCGTTTTTTTAGCAGTTCTAGCTACCTTAAAATGCCCCTGGAAAGTGTAATCGTGAGTTTCGAAATTGGTCTGAGGTTTTCTGCTTTTGCAAACAACTCAGCATAATTGTGGTTCTTTGCACTCCATATAGCACTCTGCCAAGAAAAATAATAGGCAGTTCATAAAAAGTCAAATTTTATCATGAGATTTATTTCTTGATTTGTTTTTCGACTGGCTCAAATTTCAAACTAGCCTGTCACTTTTTGGCCAGTTCAGTTCGGCGGATTTTTTTCCTCAATATTGGGCATAACAAAGTAAAGTTTAGAAGCACCGTAATATTCTTGAAATTTCGAGAACATTCTGAGTTAAGCTCCCTAGGCAAGTCTCGTCTTCGGCTTCAGATTCACAATTGCATTAAAATATACATTCGCCTGAATGACAATGAAACCAAATGGAAATGAGAATTTACAAACACAAAGCGTTTTTCTATGAAATTTGCTGTGATTGGTCCAAATCGCAAGCTAACTTAGGTCATCTGCATCGTTACGTTACTTAACCCAATTGGTGAAGTAATCATCGGCAGGTAACTGACTGGCAGGTTAACTAGCTAGTGAAGAAATAATTATCCTATCCGTAGATCTTAGGCCACCGACTAGGCATCAGTCGACGATATCGACGATACCGAATACACTATTCTTTATCTTTCACGTTTTGACCTCGCCCAGGGCTCTTCAAGTTTCCAATGCCTCCGGTGTCGAAAACGTGGTACCAGACTTGTCTGGAGGAGGTTCACTTTTCGAGATCCAACTGGGAACTATATAGTCTGACTATACCGGAACTCCAAGAATAATCGACTTTAAAAGCACTTCAGCGTCATTCATACCGAAACGAAAATTCCCAAGCAGCGCCGAACTCAAATGCAAAAATTGTAAGGCTTTCGTGGATTGTAGATGCGACGAAACGAATCGAACACAAGAATTGTTGGGATCGGCAAAGTAGATGTGAAAGACCGATCAAGTAAAATGAAATGAATCTCTCACTTGTGCCAGTACATTTAGAAATAACGTTTAGGTGTCAAATGCTTAAATGACTCTTCACACGTCGGTCTAATGATTTCCCACTTGTTTCGTTGCCTTACAACCATCTTTTAGGTGGTCGAATTCGTGTATGGATTTGGTAGCAGCTTGAACTTTATGTGCTTCGTTTCTTATTTACATGTTTAGTGACGGTTCATCGTGATTTTCCCTAAAAACATCAAATAACTGCCGTTTTAGACCACCACAGAGCGTTATTCACCGTTTTGGATTGGAGGAAATTCAAGTGTTGTGACTGGGATTCTTCCACTACGAAGGCGAATTTTAGCGTTAGTAAACCACTGACTGCTCTTCTATGAGAAAGACTGACTCTAACAGCTAAAGTCCGTAACATGTTGGTTATTACAAATATTTATGGTAGTCTTTCTTCTTATTTGATGTAGTGTCCAGCACTGTTCACATCCTCGAGTGTACCGTAGACAAGTTTTTTGTTTGCTTGTGTATGGCGTGTTTGTGGATTGGTGTTATATATAGGTGAATGATTATTCGCTTCCGTCTCGCTGGTAATCCGCTTAGTCCGGCAGCCAACGAGCACATCGTTGCTCTGTATGCATGTCATTTTTGTGTTTACTCCGATTCTGTTTACCCGGGAACAAGCTGAAGATAAGCCAACAGAATCACAACTGATTCCGCATCTTGTGCAAGCCATGCAAGCGCCATCTTCTCACAAAGAAAAAGAGTCAAAGCGAATATAAGCCAGTCGCCTCGGGAAGCGGTTTTAAACGTCGGTTTTCTTTATCGCAGATGAAAGGAAAAAAGTACGGAAGATGAGGAAATATCTACACATTCGCAGCCTCTATAAAATATAGGCAAGAAAATTGTGAGGAATGAAAATCCCTAAAAAGAAAAATTATGTTCCATTAAAAAGGAAATATACGTGTCTAATAAGCGATGTCAGCTTCCATTAAAACATTTTTTTTCGGTGAATTCCGCTCAAAAAAGTACATTATTTGGTTGAAATCGTCTTAGAATAGAAATTCCAACTATTAAACCTTACATCTCCGGCAGGGTTTCCCACGCTGAGGAATCCGGCGTTTCCAAAAAGAAGCCTAGCTAAGAGTAAACCATTACCAGGATCCACTACCATCCTGGTATCAAAGTCGCATGGTGGCAAATCTCCCTCTGATCCACAAAGGCTGCGACCGCCTGTGGTGGTGAAGACCTGGAGCAGACTTCGGCCAGGCAGTGCTCAGGATTCCAGGAAACTACGGTGGCTTTACCAGCAAATTCCCGAAAAATGGAGATTATGCTGGACCCCGGACAACTAGTGAAGACAGGGCATTCAAGTATCAAGTTCAAGTAAACTTCACGTATAATTTGATGCAACCATGAAAAAAGTAGGCATCAGGATAAACATAACCGTCGTTTTTTCATTTATGCGAAACAGTATACATTGTTTCCATGTTCACCATAGTTCACCATAGTTTAGGCCAACTTAAGTAGACTAACCCTTCTTCAGAAATGTAACCATTACCTACAAAATAAAAGTTCTTCGCCCACTGGAAACTAGGGACATTGGTTTTTTCGCTTTCATGATCGATATTCGCTCTTTGGAATGATATCGCTCTTTTCAGCACTCATAGTTATTGGAAACGCTACAGTGTAGACGACAGGCCACCAACCTGATCCAGAAAATCCGTAGAAAAGTGGTCGAACGCCTAATGGATCACGTCCGATGTAGATATTCTTTTCGTCGGCCATAATGAACGCGAACACTCCATCCAGCTGGGCGCAAGCTTCGTCTAAGTTGTAACCTGAACTATTTTTATTAAGTAGACGCACTTGACAAAAATAGAAATTAATTTCAGGGGAGCAAGGAGTTAGTTTATCACCTCCTCCAGTTCTTCACATCAATTTGCGCACCTTTCATCTACCTAAGCACTCTGTTACTGGCTTTACTATTAACAGTCAAAGAAACTTAAGGCAATGGCGACGGAAGTAAAAATAACGAAGAGAACGACTTTTTTAACAGTTTTTCTTTCGGAAAAAGGTTTTCAGAAAAAAACTAGAAAATAGACTTGCGATCAGCGCATTTAAACCAATCATGAATACTTAGAACCCCAATGAATTTTATTGACTGAGTGTATCCAGATGGCGTTTCTGGGTGCCAGACAGAAAACAACTTCGAGGAGTTCATCGGCCTAGCATATTCCCTCAGGACAAGGAATTCGGTGTTTCTGTACCTAGAACTTCAACTATGAGTAAACCAGCAACGGGAATCTTTACAATGCTTTAGGCAAAACAGTTGGAAAGCGGTAGTGGACGACCTGCGAAGCTTTTTGGGAGTTCTGTTCCAGTAAAATTGAGAGTAGTAGTTGGACGATTGCGATTCCTAGTCCATAATTATGCGCTGTTAAAATATGTGCTATTTGAAACTTTGCTTCCACCTCTGACTTTTTCAGTACTATTTCTTGTTAGTTAGGTTTACGCTTGCTACATCAGGTGCAACGAGAAAATTTTCATCTTTTGTCGAATTTCATTGTGAGCGATTTAATGAATGCCATTTTGTTTTTGTTGTCTGGAAAGGTTGTGGAAAAAAGAATTGTAGGAAGACACTGGGTTACACAAGGACCATGATGCTTCAACTTTTTCATACTAAGCAGTTTTTGATTGTTATCGATATTTACCTGAATTGATGAATGCATGGATGATAGCAGCACAATCACTACCGTCGTTTTTTAATTGAGCATTTGATGAGGCCTAAAAATGGAAAATTATAATTGCAAAACAATGGCTGTATTTTATAGTTATAAGAATGATAATAAAACTGCTGAAAATAACCATCAGGATGCTGAGATATGAACAAGACTTGGAACATCAGCTGGGTTTCGAACCCGAGATTACCATTGTCTGCGCTCACGTATTATCCACCACACTAACGGAAGGTCTCGCTTTGCACTGCTTTCAGTCGTGTTTTCCTCTATTGGTGACAGAAACTAATGGACAGCACCTGATTCTCTTGTGAGTGTAATCGCGAGTTCAAAACGCAGTGGTTAGCGATGCAATCCACCAGGAAACAAGTTGCGGGTTCGACCTACGACCCAACGATCTTCAACCCACGAGGAAAGGCGTTTGCTCGTCTACCTCTATGACTGCTGACAGCATTCATAAAAGCTATACGTTAAATTTGTTAAAAAATCCTCAAGCAGCAGATGAAACAGGACGTCAAATATTCGAAGAACTTTCTGGACGGTGAATGGAAGAAAAAACGAGTCAAATACAAGAGAAGCAGGCATCCTTACAATAGATATAATAAGGGATCATTTAATCGTAGATGTAAATGTAAACAGTAGCACCCATAATAACCCTAGTGACGGTTATAAAAGTAAAAGTAAAAGTTTATTAAGAATTTAATCCATAGATGGGGACGCCTAATTTTTGCAAATGGGATGACCCCAAATTGGGCGTCGGTTACGAAATTCGCGGTTTTTAGAAATTAGAGAATAATTTTTCGATAATCGGAAGACTTGAAGAGCGAAGAAAATTTCAGAGTTATAGAGTTCCCTTTTCTCTATCTCTCTAGTCGTATGATGAGACAAGTTCGTTTTATACAATGATTATAATTTATCATAACGATTAGAGCTGAAATAAAAGTCGCATAGTAGTTACTAGTTAATTTAATTGTTAGGTCGAAAGTTTTCTGTAATATAGCAAGTGTAGAAAGAAGCACCATGTATTACTCATTTCGGCATTAGTGGATGAATAACAATTATAATAACGATGGTAAAAGTAAGTTCGTAATCCTAATAGCAGTACTAATAATAATGATAACAGAGAACGCATGGACGCGTGTGGCGCAGTGGTCGGAGGTGCCCGCAACACGCACGTGGAATCGACCCACGCGCCCATGGTACACCAAGCCTTCCATGCCGGCAAATTGCTACCAGACTTGTCTGGGAGGATAGCAGCACTGGCTTGATACATCGGTAAGCTACTGCGAGCCTTTGCAAAAGCCAGATATGTATTCAATCACCTTTAAACGATCTTTGATGAAGTCGAATACATGGCGCACTCCTAAGGGATTGATCAACGCCGAGAGCTTCATCCTTTTTAACAGAGGACGGAGTAATCTCGTTGCTATTAACAACAATAATGGCAGTAGCAATTATAATATTGGAAAAAATGGTAATGCCGTCACTAGAAATAATAGTATTAATGGCAATAACTACAAGAAAGCAAAACATTTCAGTACTTAGAGTCTTCAATTCTATGATAAAAAGTGATGCGCGACAAAGTGAAAGATTCTGAAGTAGAAGTTACCATACTCGCCCAAGAATCGAAAGACGTCAGTGGGCAAAAGTCTGGAAGTATTCTGCATAAATTCCAGGAATCCGAAAATGAACCGCAGGCGGGTACATCTCGTTATGAAAGGTGATCTAACATAATATTTAAGACTAATATGTTAATGTGAGAGAGGTACATTATCCATTCAAGCGAACTCTGTGCGGTCGGTCCTCACGTGAAATGCTGATTGGAAGACTAATAGAAGACGGTGAATGGAGCAAGAAGCTATTTTGTTTTCAACGAGATTTAAATCTTGGTTTTGTGTTTTTTCCTGCTTTGGTTAGGGTGGTGCTTGGCTGGATAGATTGCAGTCAGCTTGAATTTTCCAGGCTCTGAAGACAGTAAAATCCACCAAAACGTCAGCTATTTCGTCAATAAGGAATAAGGTAACAACCTCGTTCCTGCTCATCAAGAATCCAGCGAATTCTTGTAACTAATTTAATCACTTCAGAACAAATCGATTGAGTGATAACAAGCTAAACACCTAATGTACCGCTATTTCCGACATCGATCGAGAGAATGGAGAAGAGATCAGCTGTGCTATGCGTTTTACTGATTGATAAGAGATTAAATGACTGACCTTAATCTCTTTGTGGTTGTAAATTTCACCATTACAAACAACAGACAGACCATCACCACTAATCGGTTGTTCACTTGGGAGATCACCGGGCTTAAAAATCGATTGCATCGGTGTATTACTCAATAACAATAACACTTTTACACAATTGTAGTTGCTAGAATGTCTACACACAGTATTAGGACCCTTAATCGTCATGGTTTTTCTTTTCTTTCACTGTTTGGGAACAAAATTTAACATTCGTCACCGTTCCAATAAGATTTGATCACCAAACGTTCTATTAATAAGAAAAACAAAATTTATAGTTGAGTTTTATTTAATTTGCCAAACGCTCCACTGCAAAAAAGCTATTACGTTGGATACTGTAAGCTACCGTACACATCCGACGTACCACTTGTTTACGTGTTATTTTCCTACTTGTTTATAAGCAAAAAAACTAGTTGAGGGGACAGGAGGGTAAGGGAACGGGAACTTTGTCCATACAGTAAGAAGAAGCGTATTTGCTAATAGATTCATTTGTCGACAACTAGAGATTTTTATTAAAGCTCGTGAATATTGGACATGAATTAGTGGCTTTGATGTAAATGCAAGATGTAAATCAATACAGTAATTCCTATGACCCCTACTTTCTACTACTATCGACCATATGCGATTCTAATCAACTGTTCTTCCTCAGTGGAAGGAACGCAAAAAGCAGTGGGGTGGGTTTTTTGAGAAACTCTAAACCGTATGGTTGCTATTTAGATTTTCATCTTTCTGTTTGTGTTATCGAAGCGTTTGTTTGACGTAATAAATTGCGTATCAATATACCGTTCCAGGCTCTGAAGAAAGCGATATTGCGGAAACATCAGCTTTAACAGAATAAAGAATAAAGTATCACCTCGTGTTTGCTAATAAGAATATCGAGAATAAATCAATGTATTTATGCCTTTTGTAGAGGAATTCCCGGGTTAATGAAGAACGAGTTCTAGTCCTAAGAATATTTGTCTTGGAAAAAAGTAGTTTACGCAAAGCCGTTCGTGCAAAAAATTTATCGGAATCTGTTCGAAGAATCTCACCATGCATTGTGCTGCGAGCACAAACCGCTTAGCCCAGATTTGTGTGCGCTACTGCTTCCCGTATGGGAAATAATTTTATCACTACTGTTGCAGAAGAGTAAGAAATGAATTTGGAAAGCAAACAAAGTGACAACGTCAAATCGTTTGTAAGGAAGAATAGAGTGGTTTCTCTTCACTTTCACTTCTCGTCAAGTGTGAGGTTTTCTTTTGAATGTATGCATGGATTTGTGGAATTTCATAAGACCCAATACACAAGCACTCACCGTTACGATAGCAAGTCGATGAAAACCAAAAAACACTGCCGGCTGAACTTCTTCGATAACAGTTAAATCGGGGCCACGACCGACAATTCGCATGAATTGCTTACGATGCATAGTAGTCGGTTGTTCACCGATTATTGCCCAAATACCGCACATAGTCGTGGATTATGTGGGTGAGTAGTGTAGATGATCTCGGTACGAATAAGACGCACTACCGTTGTTGATGCTGCTGCAACTCAACGGCGCCGATGCACCAGTCCTAGCTTATAAACGATGACGCTTCGGGCGCGACCGGTTGCGCGACGAGGCGCGGGTGCAAATAAGCGCGCGTCCGTTGACGCGGGCGGCGTGCGCGCTACGCCGCGCGCTATCGCCTTTGACCTCACGCGATAATGGTGATGTTAGTAGCGAAGGCGTGTCCCGATCCACACACACACACTCACTGGATATGCTACACCACCCAGACATGGACGGCGATACAGGTAGGTCCCAGTTGTTGATGTTGTTAGTATTGTAATTGTGTATTACAGTAAACCAAAAAATAGATTCAGAACACACATTCTGATCCAAAGCGCCCAGAAGTGCTTCTTTTTGGTGATGAACACAAAAAAGTGGGCGTGATTCCTAAAAATCGAGATTTCCGTTTCCGCGTTACAGCAGAGATCTCGTGAACAAATAACGACAACATTCTGTCAATTTGAAGCTAGTCAGAATCCGGACACGCTTCTTATCGTCCGAAAAGTGTAGAGAGCTATTATAATTCAACATACAGCTGTTAGTGAAAGCAAACGGTAGCGTTTCGCTGAGAATATGTTAGAGTCGCTTTCAGAGAACTCTTAGAGGCTTTCAATTCCAATCACTAAAATAGGCTCGTGTCCGCCTAATTCATATTCTTAGCACTGCTGCGCATTGTTTGACCTTTCGTATCTGCTGTGCTTGTTCATTCCCAATCTCTTTCCATTCATTAGCTTTTTACGTTTATTTAACCAAGTTGTTTCTAACTAATTTTAGAGAATGATACCCATACTTATCACAGATCATGCAGTGAGTAGGATTTTTCATACTAAATTTGATTCTATGGATGATTACTATCCATCAGCGCCAACAGTCAAACAGCGTTACCAGTTTTAAGTGTGCTCCACTCGTTAGAATTTTCTTTCGATCATCATACTCATGAGATTAGTAGGTTCCCAGTTCTTCTCAACAAGGACAAAGAGTAGTTGTTTGTGACGCTAAATTTCATATAATATTTGGGAATTTTACTTGTAAGATTAGAAAGTGCAGTCAAATTCTTTATTATCGAAGATAGCTCGAGGAACTATTTTTCACTGGATACATACAAAACTTCTATATAGTAATAAGACGACTGACTTCTTTAAATCCGGATTCTCTTACCATTTTTTTGCCGTGGTCGAGCGAGGTATTCTAATAACTACAGTGATCAGTTGTGTCACAGCTCTCTTAAATCATTCTTTAGTGGTTCCATTTTATTTTGACTAGAGTTGATTTCTTAAAATCTTTCTTTACTCTTCAAGAGTTGATACTGGCCATTTTGCTCAAGGATTCTTTATCATTTTTAAAAGTACAATTAGAAATGAAAACGGTGAACAAGAGGAACCAGCCTATCAGTTTGTTATACTCCAGACGATTTTCTTGCCCGTCATTTTAGTGGTGATGGTTCTCAGTTCTTCCTTTTCTTCAATGATGTACCCTTCTCTTGAATATGAAAGTTGTTTAAAACAAAATGAAAAAAAAAGAAAGAAAAAAATCGAAAAAGAAAGAAATTCACTAAAACACGAGATTTCGATTTTATGCAAAAACGTCAAAGTATGGAAATGTTAGCCGCAGTTTGTTTTGATTTTCGCCAAATACTTTCTCTCTCTTCTTCTCTTAAATGACTTGAATCGATTTGCCCTATAGAATCCACAAGTACTGATCACGCTTTCATACAACTCTTTTTCATTAAACGATGTGAGAGGAAATGATTAGCAGGTGATTTTTTTGGGTTCTCTAGTGGATGTTCTGCTTGACGAACTACGCCGCTGGATGTGGTGGCCGTAGTCCAAAGAGCAGATCAGAGGGCTCCGACAGAAGCTCTAACCCTGCAGAAGTGAAGCAAACTTAAAAAAAAACGAACAAAAAAGAGAAACCGACCAAACATCGATGGGAAACGCAAATTTCTCACCTTCCAAAATCATGCGAAAAGTGCGATGGTATGGGTTTTATAATGTAAAAAAATGTGCAGGACCTGTAGTGCTGCTATGGTCATAGCGTATTGCTTACTCAAATACATGGACCGCACTTGTGCAGGAATGGTGAGGAATCGTCTAGGTTCTAATGCAACTTCAATTTCTTTTTGCTGGGAATTTACTCGTTAGTAAAGGTTTTCTTTTCATGGGATCTCAAATGTCATAATATCGCCCTTATTAACAATTTATTTACTACTTTAGTGCCACGGTGACAGAAGCTCTTGGCATTCGTCTATTTCTAAGCGGCTTCAGCATGGAAATCCCGTGCTCTCAGCTTCCATGATCCCATTAGGGTAATGAATCCACTGCTGTACACAATAGTTCATCACAAAGTAACCCCACCCAACCAGGATGAAAGCGATGGAAAAACTATTTATAAGCACATATGGGCATATTTTATTTTTATTCCAACCATTAGAACTTTGATCTTTACAGTGAGGCTCAGTTCATAATGTGGTTACTTCTGAGCTGTTGACAAATACTAGTAAAGCGTCGTCGTACATTTCTTGTGGAGTGTCAGTTACTTGTAGATGCTTTTTTAGTTAACCGTTACCTCTCATCAAAGTACGTATTTGCCAAGAAATTTGCGGTCTATTTGTATGCAGCCTTCTTCGAACCAAATTTTCAAACCAGTTGTGATTTAACCTCGGTAGCAAAGTGATCAGCATGTATTAAAATTCTTGAGCTTACAAGAGGTTGATAAAAGTATTTTATTTGGCTAATCTTTCGACGTCTTCGTCTTCATCAGAGCCCATAATCCGAGTCGATGGTCCGCAGTTGCTCGTATTCTCGAGGTGACGTCTTCGTATTCCTACAGAGACAAATCTTCTTCAGTGGAAAACCGCACCAATGAGGAATGCTCACCGCCAGTGCAGATGTCTGCGGTGGGGAGCGAACGCGCTATTGTCCTTTCCGTGGAGTAACGCGTTCACTACTACACCATCCGGATCCTTCGTTTCGCCTGTCTCTCAGCTAGTTTTATCGATCTTTTGCAATCATGAGAGACAGGCGAAACGAAGGACCCGGATAGTGTGGTGGTGAACGCGTTACTTCCCGGAAAGGAGAATAGCGCGTTCGTTCCCTACCGCAGACATCTGCGGTCCGGAGTTTTGCAAATATCTCAGCATTATAGTAACTATAAGATAATATCGATGAAATAAGTCCCTGGATATATAAAGGTGTTCTTTTCATGTGGCATTAGGTATTGCAGAGGAGGTTGAATCCGCGTCTGGCTTAGATTACGACTTTGTAGGACCTACCGATATGTCACGAGCTCGTATCCTCCCAGAGGGCCATATTTCAGACTTAGCGGGGATAGAGTGCTTAGTTTTCACGGAACGCGACGTCTACCTCGCGTCTTGTGGGGAAACTCCAGCTAGTGCTCTAGACGTGCCCACGATTTTTTAATAACGGCTTTTATCGCATTAAACAAAAAGGGTTTGGTGATTTATTGTTAGTAAACGCAGAACTCAGCAAAACACTAAATGAGGGGTTTGATTGTGAACTGTTAAACGTTCTTATTTTAACTATAGCCGTTAATAAGACACACCGAGAGCGGATTTCATTAGAGAGAAAACAACACAGGCTTATGTTTTCTAAGAGCACTTCTGGCATTAGGTTTTTTTCTTTTATTATTCTCAGCCAAGACAATGTTGAGGGTAATTTATTGGGCTACGCGGTGTCTGGGTGTTTAAAAGCTCAGCATGCAAACCGCATCGAGACTCTGGTAAGTTCAGGCCATGGACTCTCTTCCCTTATAGCAAAGTCTGGCGAGCTCTGTGAGTACCATCATTCGTTCTGAGAATGAATTAATACTTCTATATTAGACAACAAAAGCTGCCCGTTGAAGGAGTTATCGATTGTCGAGTAGATCACAGCTGCTTGGCCGTAATTACAGTTTTGAATTCTTCTTAGCGATGGCTCTATCCTTGTCAAACGTGTGGAATAAAGTAATCCTATTAGCTTTGGATCTTAGAGGACCAAATGGATTGGTCAGTAACATGCAATATGTTACGGAAAATCCGTATCACAGAAGAAGCCAGTCCCTACAAGGAAAGAGGTGGATGCGCTTAAGTGAGAAAGAACAAAAAATTCATAGGTTCCTTTACTATTATAGAATTCAGGGCAAAACAATGGAACTTCATGAATTTTTTTGAAGACGCTCATAGGGAATTATCGTGTTCTGTTGTAAAACTTGTCGCTAAAGAAAGAATGAATCTCTTGAAGACCTTTTGTCCTTCTATCATCACCGGAACTGTATTTGTTAGAAAACATGTGCAAAAATATTCTTCTTGAAGAACTAGTGGTATGAAAGAATGAAATTATCCAACATGTTTTTCACCTTTTTCTCTTTGTGAAAGTCCATCGTGCTCCTTTACTACGAGTTGTGTTAAGTGGCAAAAGGTCATTCGTTATTCGTAGTTTTATGTCTTTGCCCTTTCGTCGTAATGACTTTCAAATCTGATCGTGATATATGGATATGGGTATTCTGAGGGGAAAAGGCAATCGATAAGCCGTTTCTTAGTTCTTGCAAACAAGAATCTTTTTTAAGCTGGAGTATTGTGGCTGTTTGGTTGAATCGAGCAATAGTAAAAGTTGCCCAACAATTTGCACATGGTCGTTAGTTCGATCTTGCATCTTGTGCTAGCAAGCTTCACATCCCACCAGGATCGGCTAATTGGTGTCAGGCTTGTCTGGAAAGACAAAAGCATTGATTTGGTACAACGACAGGCTAGAGAAAGTCATAGTATAAGTAAGTCGTATATGCATTAAATCATCTTTAGCGTTGCTTGATAAAGTCAGATGCATGGTGCATTCCTCATGGATTCATCAATGCCAAATACTTTACCATTCATTCTTTGTAGGCTGAGGTATGGCCAAATTGAATTCTTCCATCAGTACAGTTGC